GAACATATAATGTAGAGAATTTTGTTTATTTTTCTTTGTATACAGTAATTTTCTCAAATAGAAATGAAAAATATCAAAATTTAGACATATTTTTGAAAAAAAATTACGAAGTTCCGGGCAAACTAGTCAATCTCGATGAATAACCCAAAAAACTGCAGTATAAGAAAATTTATGCCCACAACAAAACTTTCCCATATTCACCTTAATCTGTCCTAGTTTCACTCGATTAATATCACTTTTGATAAAGATTAAAAAAAAAAAACACAATTCCCACCACACATTTTATCATTAAAATTAATAATTTCATTTCATTTTTTCTCTTCAACGTCTACTACTGTGATATATTAACAACTTACTTCAAAACCTTCCTTGTAAAAGTCGCTAGAATAGTAAAGTTGTGTAAGTAACTGAAGCTTATTCATTTACTTTAACACTTATAATGTGTCATGTCATGGTTTTTGAAATGTCAAGAATTTGAAATTCTCCGCTTACCAACGATATATTATACATATACCTTCTGACTATTATTTCCGGAGGTTCATTTTTGACCTGGATAAGCATTTTTTTTTTTCTCCTTCATCCAATTATCGAATTGTTTTTAAAGTTATATTTAGCCATTTTTTATAGTTACTGTCAATAAAAGAGAGTTAAATTTTCAAAATAAACCATATTAAAGGTACTTTAGAAGAAGACGTATGTGAACATTTAAGCCTTGTAAAATGACATCAATGGGGATAAGAACTCAACGATATTAAAGACCACTTAATTATATAATGATACACCGAGTTTGATCAAAATCATTTGAGCCGTTTTTGAGAAAATTGTAAAACTGTGTTTCACCATTGATATAAAGTGGAACTTTCGGTTAGCTGATTTTAAGGAAAAAGTTGCTGTGACATCTAAAGTATATACCTATCTTAAATAAGTAATATCAGTTTTGTACGACTTTTCGTTTTTGAACTAGACTGTTCACATACACAAACACGCACGACCATTTTGGGGGACTTGGTTATTTGGACTCAGAGGATTTCTCAAAATATGTATTTCTGTTGACAACTCGGACTCGAACATTTTCATGATCGCAATACTTTTCCTTACTATATATTCCATATATAGGTAAGTGAAAGTAAAAAATAATATAATTTGAACTACAGAATGCAAGTAAATTGCAGTTACACAATTTAAGCAAAGAGTAGTACAATGAAATGAACAGTTGCATAATTTGTAAAATGGGGGTTGGTTAATTATTATTTTTTTACTAATTAAAGCCTTGATCTAATTTGATTTATATTTAAAACTTGAATATTAATTTGAAAATGGCAGATAGGCCGAAAGTTACTGAACAATGTTTTAAAATTAAATAAAAAATCTGTTGTGAGAATATTATGGTTTAATTTAAATTTTGATTAATATTAAAAACTTAAATATTTATTTTGAATTTGGGAATTCCTAGAAATTTGTTATTTTTCAAGCTTGATAGCAGCAAGATATGAAAGATCACTATTAAAAAATCAATATCCCACCTGTCCACAGCATCCTCATATATTAAGATTTTTCACCTTCATTTTTTATATTTTAAAAAGATTAATATTTTTTTTCCTCACAGATAATACAACAATTATTAATATATTCACAAAAGATATTGTCAAAGTGTTAATCCACTTTGGAAACGTTTCTTCTACTGGTCCTACCATATTTTATTACATAACTCATGAGGGTAGCAAAAAAATACGAGAAGTATTACACATGAGTAGTAAGAATAAGAATCATTACTTCGATCCAACCAGTAAAGGTAAATTAGAAAGATTTATACTTTTAAAATATTTATTATTAATATTTGAACATTTTGTTTTTAATCTCAATTTTTAAGTAAGATGTTTTAGAGAAAACAATTCGTTATTCTCACTTCTGTACCAAATATTTCAATTTAATTTTGTTGGTATTGGATTAAATTGTAGTCAACATATTGTACTAAATACATAATGGTAAGCAAATACAGGTAAACATAAGTGAAATTTGTTTTTAAATACTAAATGAAGTTAGTGTTATATTTTGTAATTCAAATTACTTACTGGATTGTGTGTTATACAATTTTCTTTTATGATTCAAGTGGAAATTAATTACATCTTATTTCTTGTAGTCTAGAAATAGTATTCATTTGTTAAGTCTTTGTTAACTCATCTCTCTTGTGATTTACTAGCTTCAGCATATTTGGTTTTCAATCTTCATCATCCTATTTACCTTCTCCTCTAATGCGGTTAGGAAACTGTACTGACATCCCATCTTATTCATTAGTTTACTGATAGCTCTTTGTTTTGAGCTATTAACAACCATAATTTTCCTGCTACTTAATAGATTTTTACCATAGAAAATCTTTAAGTAGTTTCCCAAAGCTTTCCCTGAAGAGTAGTTATGCATATAGATAACCAGCACCAACCTGCTATATTTCTTCAAAACCATGGATATGTAGAGCCATCCTTTAGTATTTCTGTATCCAAGGTTTTTGTCACTTTTAACCTTTGCTTGTTAGGTTCAAATCATCAGCTCTAATTACGTTTGATTTTTATTAAGTTTCAGTTGATAGCTTGCCTGAATATTCTAATATAGGCTCCTGTATATTTTAAATGTTACACTTAATATCTTACCATGATCATCACTTGATAAACTCTGATGAGACTACAATCAACCCTTTAATCAGAAATTTACTCTTTAATAGCTAAGATGGATATATTTAATTATTGGTTTCTTTGTTTTTAATTACCAATATCTCACTGATGCCACAATTCTTTTTTAGAGGAATTACACAAAAGGATTACATTGCTTCCCGATAAGATCACTCAAGAAGATAGGTTATTCATTAAATCAATTTATGAATCTAGATGTTTAATGGAAGAAATTACTTGGGACGAAGCTAATGATATTCTTGTGAGAGCTGCTCCTGAAGATGTTCGTATTTCCTTTATAGTGGATGTTATAGATACTATGTATTCATTTTATTAGGATCTTGAATAAGTTCTCGCTGTTTCTTAACAGATGGACAGATGGCAGAATCAGTTGTTTTTTTTTTAGTTTTAAAAATGCCCAATTTTGTCCCAAGTAACGAGTATTTATGGTTTCAGCGCTTCAAAAAGAATGATTTTAATCTTAGAAATAGAGAACACTCTTGCACACCAAAAAAGTTTGAAGGTGAAGAATTGGAGAAATAAAAACCCATGTCAGATGTTTACTGAACTTGAATAATCATTACTAATAGATGAGACAGGAGAATCTAAAAGTTTGAAAGCATTTAAAATGATCCAGAAGCATGCACATTAAGTGCCGTTTTAGTTACAGTTATACAGTCATATAGTTACCAAAGGCGTTGGGAGGTGGCGGCCCCATCTCTCGGTCTTTGTACCGCAATCAGCCACTGGTCCTCCACGCTGGAGAAACAATTAACTAACACACACTCAGTACACTACTAATGGAACTTAAAATAGGACAATGGAATGCTTTGTCTCTTTATATACCAGGAGCTATATATCAGCTTTTAACACAGCTAAACCGTTATCATGTTGGCTTACCTGCAATCCAGGAAATAAGATGGACGGGTCAAGGAGCCTTCAACAAGAAAAGTCCCATCTTCTATAGCTGCTATGACAAGAAACACACATTTGGAACTGGATTCATTTTGAGCAAGATGAGTCAGTTAGTCACTGGCTTTAAATCAACTAGCCCAAGAATCTGTTACCCCAAATAAAAATAAAATTTCACTATTATAGTATGGTTAGTGTCCATGTCCCGACTGAACCATCAGGAGATGATGAAAAAGATGCCTTTTATAGTAGCCTGGAGCAATAGCTTGATTCCTGTCCAACAGCTGATGTTAAAGATTATCCTGGGAGACTATAATGCTAGGGCTATCTCTGAAAACAAAAGTGCAACTGTACAAAACCCTGGTAAGACCAGTTGTCACTTAAGCCTCCGAATGCTAGACATTAACCAGTACACAGAAAGATCTTCTTCTAAGGTTCGAGAGGAGAATTTATGGTCCAGTTTTGCATCAATAAAATGTGGAGGATAAGAATGAATGTTGAGCTAAAGACTTTATAAGAGCTCAAATATCGTAAAGGTGATTAAAGGCCAGCTTCAATGGGCAGTTCATTCCTTTTAATTAGAATGACCCAGGATCAGATTCCTAGGATGGTCCTAGATGAAAAGATTTATAGGACAAAAAGAGTGAGAAGACCTCATTTCCGATGGATCAATGGAGTGGCAGTGGATGCCAGGTCCATTTTGGGAATCCGCTATTGGAGAGGATCGGCAACCAATAGAGAAGACTGGCGGACCAAGCTGCGGGAGGCCCTGACTCTACAGGAGTTGTAGTACCACAGATGATGATCTAATGACCAATGATAAAAAAAAATGAATGCAGTACGATAATCCTAAGCTTTAAAAATCATGTGGTCAGCTCAGCTATGCTCAACATTATTCTCAAAGCCAAATATCAATGGTTCTTTTGTATTTGGTGGGATCAGTATAGATTCCAATTGATAGATTTGAACCAATCTAACCTCTAAAGGATAAGCGAGCAGAAACAACAAGGTGATTTTATTACATATCAACGCTCATTAGGGGGGCGGGGTGGCCGAATGGGCTAAAGCGTGTGCACAGCACCGTGAGTTGCCTGGCAACCGGATTACAGATTTAAGAAGATTTAAAAAGTACGAGTTCGCGTCTCGATGCCGGAGGGGATTTTAAATTTCCCGCCCTTAACCCCCCCCCTCCCCGGCTCGGGAAAATCCCGTATAGCCTAAAAGGCGAGGTAGTGAAGAACAAAAAAAAAAAAAAAAACATGGCAACGCTCGGCCACAATGTTCAAATCAGTTAAAACTCACCCGGAAACACTTAAATGGGAAGTCTTGCCCCACCTACCTTAATCAACAGATATAGCCTCTTCCTATTGTCACTTATTTTGTTTATTATAGACTCATAATAAATTGATAGGTTTGAAACAACCTATGAAGAATAAGAGCAGAGACACAAGGTGGTTTTATTACACTTGTCCTGGCTGAGCAGCACTTTTAATCTTATGAAAATACGAAGAAAATGGGTAGATTCTTGCCTAGCTTCAAAATACATACCATTTTTTCTATGTGGTATTCATACGCTGAATGATACGAGAAAGTAGTGGCTAGTGATAGGCAATACTTTTAGTGAAATGTTTTTACCGAGTACATAAAACATTAATTTAAAAAAAAGAGCGCTTATTCAAGGTCCTTATAGACAAATTCGTATTTATGCATTTTTGTTGTATTTACAAATTTCTTTATTTCATTATTTTTAAATAATTTTCTATCCTTAGATCCAGCAGGATTTGAAGAAAGAGAAACACAGTATGAAATCCATCGCTTCAACTTCACAAGCTTCAACATCAAAAGAAATTAAATTGTTAGTATTATACTTAAATAGTTTGTATTTCAATTATTTTTTAATCTAGAAATGCTTTAGCCAAAAATTGATGCTCATTTGTATGGCAAAATAATTTGCCATGTCGAGCTCAAAGAAGTCCACAAACATTAACCATTGAGAGCTATTCCATTACAAACAAAATGGGGGAATCGAAATTTTCAAAGCTAATCTTAGATCACTAATTATATTGTAATTACAGTTTGTCCATTCAGATTTGGTTTCATTACAAGGGTACAAAGTACTGAAAGTAAGATCCTTCATGAGTTGTGGATAAGGGTTTTTTCCTCCCTCAAAATTCAAAAAAGGGCAATTTAAGTAGTAACTTATATTAGCTTTTTTGTTTTTTTAAGTAGATTTTTTTTACTTGGGTCATACTTATATATTTGAGCATTTAACATTTCTGGATCTAGCAATTCGGGTTTTAAAAAATATCAACTTTTTGAAGAAAAGTTGATCTCAAATATTAGTATAGATGTTCTGGATAATGAACTTGAGCTTTGATTATCAGTTTTCTTAATATTAGTTTTCTTTTTTTAATTTTGAAATAAGATTTTGCTCATAGTGTTCGTATACAAATAAAATACTTTATTATACATTATTTATTTATTTTTTATCTTTTAGAAACTTTTCACAGTAACATTCATAAATTGTGCAATTCAACTTAACTGCATGATATTTTTGTTTCTTTTTATGGACTTTACATTTATTCTTATGGACAATTATATTTATCTACTGTTTCCATACATAATGAAGGAAGTTTTGGTACGAAGTTATTCAATCATATTTTATTCATCAAATCATATAATAATAACATCTTTATCCAATAATTATTTACGTTTTCTACTTTTTAGAATCATGGTTTATCCACCGCCACCAGCAAAAGGTGGAATTTCTATAAACACTGAAGACTATACCCGTTTAAAAGAAGGTCTATTTTTGAATGATGTAATCATCGACTTCTACCTTAAGTAAGATTTTTGTAGCCATATTTAATTTTTTTTTAAGTTTTTTTTTTTTAACTTTTATTATGATATTTACAACTGTATTAGTATGAGTACATTAAGTAAATGTGTACAGAGGAATATACTAACATGAAACACGCTTGTTGAGAAACTACCCATTGGTAGCACTCTAATAATTTGTCTACATGAGGAGATCACGAGGCCATCTTCTTTTCAGACACCTCGGAGGGTTATCAGGAATCGAAGAGGAAGCAAGGTTAGAAACAAGAGGATTCGGATGGTTATGAAGTTTATTATGGAAGGATAGGTATCTGGATTCGGCCAAATCAGAAATATATGGAACATTGAGGTCTTTATGGATTATTTTATTTGTGACAAACTAAGGAGCATTGAGGATTTTATGAAGGATTTTGGATTGTAAAGATTGGATACGAGAGGAATTTGATGGTTTAGTGGAGCCCCACAGTTCAACTCCATAAGTCCAAATAGGTCTTATTATAGTCATGTATATGAGTCGTTTGTAATTAATGGGAAGTTTAGAGCATTTGTCTAGTAAGTGTTGGAGTAAGCGGAAACGTTGAGCAGTTTCTTGTCGTTTCAGTCTTGTATGAAGATTCCAAGTGAGACGTTTGTCCAGCTGGAGTCCAAGGTATCGGATTTGTTCTACAGGGATAAATGGAGTGTTATTAAAGGATACTATACGGCAGCAAGTCATTGGTTTACGACGAAGTGTAAAGGTGATTTGACTGGATTTATTGGAATTTATTTTAATCCTCCAGTTTTGACACCATTCTTCAAGGTCTGTGATGTGTGATTGAAGAGTTTAGGATGCAATTGTTGAATCATTATTAACTGACAGGATACATGTGTCATCAGCATACGTAGTGATGACAGTGTTAGGATGGGTTGGGATATCAGCTGTATAAACTGTGCAAAGGATAGGACCAAGGATACTACCTTGAGAAACTCCGGCAGATTGAGAAAAGAGGGATGAATAGGTATTATTGTGATTTACTTTGAAGTGTCTATCAGTAAGATAGGAACTGATGATAAGAAAATATGTAGGGAGAAGGAATTTACGGAGTTTGTAAGGCAATCCAGGATGCAAGACTCGATCAAACGCCTGTTCAACGTCGAGAAAAACTCCAGTGCAATACATTCCGCGCTCCAATGCAGAAGAGACAACGTCTACCACACGATTACATTGCTGGATAGTGGAATGGGATGTGCGGAATCCAAATTGGTGATCAGGATTTATGTGGTTAGAATCTAGGATGGGATACAGGCGTTTTAAGATGAGCTTCTCCAGGATTTTGCCCATGATGGGTAAAAGAGAGATAGGACGGTAAGAGGATGGGTATTCTAGTGGCTTTTTGAGTTTATGTATCATTTTGACTACAGATAGTTTCCAAGGGTCAGGAAAATATGTGGAACGGAGTACGGCATTATAAATGTAAGTAAGGAATAGAAAGGCTTTTCAAGGAAGTAGTTTAAGAATATGGGAAGTGATTAGGTCGTGGCTAGGAGCTTTGCGGGAGGGTAATCTGTGAATAATATTGGATATTTCTGAAGGATGAAATGCTTTAGGAGGAGGAGTCATTTGGAGTGGAATATCCAGTTCTGTTTCAATACATTCAAGCTGATTTGGATTAAGGATATCAGGATGTGGATTATAAGTTTTGAAAAGGGAATGAGCAAAAATTTGGGATTTTTCTTCATCAGAGTTGGACCAAGTTTGAGCTTCAGTATGAAGTGGATGATTAAAGTCTTTAAATTTCAGGCGTTTAGTCGTTGTCCACAGTGATTTGCCGGTAGGTGTAAGTTTTTCAGTAAAATTTAGTAAATTTTGAATTTTATATTTTCTAATTTCTGATTTTAGTTTGTTAGTCAGTTGGGTGTAATGAGTTTTATCTGTTGGATATGTAGTTCTATGCCACTTCGATCTTGCTCTGCGTTTTTCCTTTAATAAGATACGAATGTGCTGTGGCAAGTTAGTCTTTTGTAAATTGTTAATCCTACTGTTAAAGGTGTTACTGTTTATACTGTCTGTTATTGATGTTGTAAGTTTTTCTATGGCACCATTAATGTCTTCTTTTGTCTTTAGCGGAATTTTCAAGTCTAGTTTGTTTTCCAAGTCATCACGAAATTTGTCCCAGTTTACTCGTCCTGTAATCAATTTAGGGGATGATGGTTTAGGAGCATAGCTAGAATGTAGTGAAAGTAGAACTGGACTATGAAGAAAGGTCATCAAGGGATTTGATTATGGTTTGTGAGGAAGAGATCTGGGAAGTTATAAATATATCTAGGATATCGGGACGTTTTTTGAGGGATTGGAATAAGGATTCAAGAAGGTTATAGGAGATGGAATTACCAGGAGGACAGTATACAGCTGAGAATGTGATATGGAAAGGGCTAGTTGGAAGGACTACAGAAGTTGATTGAATGGCATCAGTTGAAGTGGAAGGAATAAGGGAGTGGGATAAAGATTTATGGATAAGGATGCAGGAACCAGCGTGGGAAGTGTTATCTGGGTGGTCAGATCTGTAAGTGATGTAGTCCTGTATGTAGAAATGTGTCCGTTGAGTGAAGTGAGTTTCCGTCAGAAAGGCAATGTCTATGAGATTGTCATGGAGAAATAAGTCTAGTTTGTCTCGGTGGTTGAGTAGTCCATTAGCGTTCCATAAAAGGATAGCTAGGGGCTTTGTATTCATCGAGGGAAGTTGAACGGGATTTCGGAAAGGAGTCTGATGAGGAGGGTGATGAGCGGTTTGATAATCGCTTGAAGATCTATCAGGAATGTTGAAAGGACAGAATTGATGTCGGAAGGTTTTTGGCTGTGAAGTGGATTTAGGTCAGGAGGATGTGATGGGTAATTTGTGTGACTAGGATTGCTGGAAGGGGGATGTACCCGACGTGGGATGCGAGGAGTTGGATCTATATTCTGTTAGGCTTGTGATGGGAGGTTTACATTGGGATTAGGAACGGATGGAACTGGGTGTGGATGCTCTGGCGGTAGTTTGACCCTTAAGGGTAGATGATGAGAGGGATTTGCTGACGAGGATATTTTAAAGTTATTTTCTTAATCTTTAGTTAAGTAAGGATGGTAACTTTTTTGTACTTTTAATTTTATATATTAGTAAATTATAAATTAAAAGTAAATTATAAATTTAGTTTTGTAGTTAAGCTGATCTTTTGTACGAGAAACCTTACCTAAAATAAAAGTTAAGCTTGGAAATATTTGAAATAATTTTGATGATGATAAATTCTTAATACCATTCAATCATCTTTGATCATAAAATTGGTTAGTTCTAAAAAAAATATAAACAGAAAACTATGGTCATATCATTGGTGAGAGAGTATAATTTGAATATTTCAATTAAAAATTGCCAAGTTGTTTATTTAATATCATCAGGAAGATAACTCAAAGTTTTATTATTGAATGATTTTTTTTTTTTCACAGATATCTGTGGCTCAACGTCTTAAGTGAAGAAGATAGGAATAGGACGCACATATTTTCTTCATTTTTCTACAAACGGCTGACTATGTGCCCTCCACGTCAGTCAGAGAATCAAGAAAACCAAAAGCTATCTCCTGCAGAAAAAAGGCATGCAAGGGTCAAGAGTTGGACAAAGTCTGTTGACATTTTTAGCAAAGACTTTATTATAATGCCGATCAATAAAAGGTATATATGTATCTTTTCTCTGTTTTAATCATTTCACAGCGCTTAAATTCGGTTAGCTTATTGATTTGGTTCTGTCATAAAATTATATTTAAAAAGTTTGTTTTAACTTTATAAATTTATGTTTAAAATTAAAAGAATTATCTTTATTGTTGATTTTTCAGAACATTAATTTGTAACAATCTATTCTGCCTTAATGCAAGTAATTCTGTCAGCATGAAAATACCATATATTTTTTTACATTGTGACCTAATTAATTAATTTTGGCCTAATTTTAAACCTTCATCATAATTGAATCTACAGCAACTCTTAGATATTGACTATTTCTGTTAAATTTTCACTATACCTTAAAGCAATAGTAAATTACCCTGGCGTGTTTCTATCTTGACTGAACCCCATCCTCTGTATCACATCTATTGTCAAAAATATTTCAATCTTCGCTTTTAGTTATGTTGGAGAAAGTGGAAAAATCAGCTCTGGAAATAGTTTAAAAGGGTTAGGTTATTATTCAGGTAAAGGCAAGATGTAAAGTTTACTATAAGGCTAAAATAAATATTTGTAGTCAGTTATTTACTTAAAGTGGTGAAGATTTTCTTATTATTATAATTTAATTTTATTTGGAGATTGGGGGGGAGGGATTATATTTGCAACTATGCGATATTGTTCATTGAAAATGTAATATTTACTGTACTACACTAAAGTAGTATTATAAATTGAAAGGCTGTCGCCAGTCTCTGTTTCCATTCTATTCTGAATAGAATTGCCCCATCCATTCTTCCTCAGCTATGCCATCGATTTATTGTTGCACTATAGTTATGTTTATAATTATTAAGTGAATGATTTCTTTGTAATCTGCTTAAGAACTATTAATTATTCATATTAATTTAAATAAAGAATACATATTATTTAGAAAAACGTGATGAAATTATTCAATTTTATAAAATATTTTGTTTTATAATTTTTTTTTATTATCACTAGGTCTCATTGGTTTCTGGGTATTATATGCTTTCCTGGTTTGAGTGGTCCTGTCCGCATGTCGGATAATCAGGCTGTTCCTAATGTCATCAGGAAAAAAAGTAAGTTTAAAAATATATTTCCTTGAAAATATTCCTTGAAAACAATCATTCTATATTAATGATTTTTCAGCTGATGCATCAGTCCTAGTGGGTGGTCTCACTCCTGCTAAGATCTATGGATCAACCATGAATCTGGAACCTAATGAGTCTGATCGTGATGAGGCTGAAGCTGATGACGATGATATGGAACCCAATACCACTGATGAAGTAATTTTTTTATTATTTATTCTAGGAATAATATTCAATTAAAATATTTTGATATATAACATGGAATTATGCCTCTTTATTATTAATAATTAATAATCTTACTTTATATTAATTAATTTCAAAACCAAAAACCATTTTTATTTAGCATTATAAACAAGTTCTTAAAATTGTGAGATTTCAATGTTAATTTTTATATTTTCTAGGAATCAGGGAAAGATGAAGATCTAATGGATGAAGCTGCACCTAGAGTTAACAGTAAAACCAAACCTCCATCAAAACCAATAAAGCAGCCAAGCATCCTAATTTTTGATTCCCTTGCATGGACGAATAGATCTCGTGTTTGTGCCACCTTAAGAGAGTACCTTAAAATTGAGTGGAAAGTTGGACATAAAGAAAACTTGCGTGATTTTTCAAAAGATGTTTTTAAAGGAGCTGTTCCAAAGGTTCCTCAGCAAACCAATTATATAGACTGTGGAGTATATGTGCTACAATATGTTGAAGCATTCTTTAAGGTAATGTTGAAAAAATGACCTACTTAAAAATATATGTGTTAAAATTTTTAATTATTTTTATCCAGTAGTCATCTTTAGCCTTTTCTTTGCTGTGAGTGACGAGCTTTACGTCTACCACAGTGCTGAATAAGCCGGCAGCCTGACAACCATGTACTACATGCTTTTTATCTGCTTTCCACCCTTCGTTACCGGCTGTTACTACTACCTTATTTTATTGTTTTCATTCTCCTTTGAGATTTGGGCTGTGGACTGACACTGGCAGAGTTAAAACTTTTTTTTTCAATAATGTTTTTATAAGTTTAAATATTTATTTAACAATTTAATGTGTGTGATGATCTTCAAAACATTTTTCAACACAGAGAGAAACTTTACAATTTCTACATTCGAATTTGGTTTCGCGCCAATTATTGTTTTAAGTAGTAATAAATTCGGCAGCTTCCGTAGCAGTAAACCACTTTTTCTCCATTTTTACTGGTACTGGTACTGGTACAGGTGAGGAGACTTAGTCTGGCAAGTGGGCTTATTGGTCCTTTTTGCCAACCCTAAAATTTTATACTACCAGTGGTTGTCTATTGTACCTGTATTCTGTCCCAAACCTTTTTGTTCTTCTAATGAAGTTCAAAAGGTTGGACCATTTAATGGAGGCAGCTTTGCATACTTGGATTCTGTCCGCTCCCAGAAGTCTGTATCTGAGTGACGCAAATCGGTTACATTCCATTATAAAGTGAAAGGCAGTTTCAGGTGCACTTCTGCAGAAATTACAGAGCTCATCATCCACTATCCCAAAGATCTGTAACTGTCTTTTAAGTCTGCAGTGGCCTGTCAGCACAGGCGGATTTACGGGGGAGAGGGGCTTTCGGGCTGAAGCCCCCCCAAAAAGGGTAAAATGTAACTATTTTATGGTAAAAATATAAAAAAATTATGTATTAAAGTATGATTGCTCGTTTAATTACATTTAATAGGGCTTCAAGAATCACTTAAACAGCATTTCATATAGATAGTTAGTATCTTTCTATTTTTCCAAAGTAATTATCGTTATATATATGAAAAAAAAGCTTCCGGGCTGAAGCCCCCCCAAAACTAAATCCTGGATCCGCCAGTGCCTGTTAGTACTCCGATGATGAGTCAGATTTCTTTCCTAGTTAGGCCCAGCAGCCACTTTGTTCTGGAGGGAGAGGAGCTTTTAATAAATTGCTTCGCCTGTCTAAGCCCAGTACATTCCCTCCATTCTTTATCTGTTATCTTCCAAATCCAACCAAGGACTTCTTTCCGCTGATGCTTTTTGGATATTACTATTACAGGTTCCGGGCTTACAATAGGAGATTCCGCTCCTTTCCTTGCTAGGTAGTCAGCTTTTTCGTTGCCTTTAATTCCCTTGTGACCAGGGACCCACACTAGTTCCACCCTCTTGGTGCAGGCCAGTTTCTCCAACGCCTGTTTGCACTAGTGTGGAGGTCACCTTGGGAGACTTTCTCCATTTAAAAAAATAAAATAATTAATCTACATGCCCACGTAACTAACTAAACTAATTCTACTTGATATAATTACTAACTAAATGAAATTTATAAAAAAACAACAGAGAAATTGAACAAAAGTTTGTTTCACATAGAACGCAAACCAAGAATGAAAATGGTCGTCAGCCAGAGAGAGGCCGTAGCAGGTAATAACCCATAACATTTCATAAATTCTACTAGAAAAGCTCCAAAATAAGTCCCTATGCCATCTGTGGGTTCTAGTTAGAAGCTTTATTTCACAATAAAACTAACAGTGTGGCAAGGTCGATGCGATTATAGCCGTCATTAGCAACAGTGGCACGTTCAGTTGGTGCGACTATAACCGTCGTTAGCAGTTAAAGGGTTAAGATTCTAGGGGATTGATTCAAATTATTAAGATACATAACTTGATTTAATCGTTTATCTAATATTTTTTTACATATAAAAAAAAAATACCTGTACCACTACAGCCCATGGAGGGTCTTGGGTTCAGTAATATTTAGGAAAAGTACTGTTTCTTAGTCAAGAAATGATTTTAGACTGAAATCACGCTCAATCGCCATATTTTTCCCCTTTAATTAATTATTTAACTATAAGTACCCACTTTAATGAGGCTGGCTATGCCCCAGGAGGGTTGCCCCATAGCCGATGAAACATAATAAATAATTTAGTGCCATGTGCCGGGATTCGAACCCTCTGGGACCACATATGTCAGATGTTATTTCCATTTGTTTCTAAAAATTCACCCCGCATACTTCTGAGTAAGCTTTAGTTTAATCGTCATCATCATCTGTGGCGTTACAATTCCTGTAGAGTCAAAGCTTCCCGCAGCTTGGTTCGCCAGTCTACTCTATTGGTTGCCGCTGCCACTGCATCGGAGTCAAGGTCTTCTCACTCTTCTTGTTCCATAAATCCTTTCATTTAGGACCTTCCTCGGGAATCTGATCCTGTGTCAATCTAATTAAATGACCTGCCCACCGAAGCCGGCCTACTTTAATCACCTTTAGGATATCTGAGCTCTTGTAGAGTCTTCTTAACTCAGCATTTGTCCTTATCCTCCAGAATCCATTGATGCAAACTGGGCCATAAATTCTCCTCAATATTCTCCCCTTTAACCTTAAGAGAGGGGCTTTCTGTGTAATGGGTAATGTCCAAGCTTTAGTTTTTGAAAAGATCAATTTTTTATTCTTTAGTAATCATCTCTGGCTTATCTTTTAATATTGTTTTCACTATTATTTGGGAGTGTGCATCATGTCCGTCACCAATTTCAATAATTTTTTTATTTTTTATTATACTACATTAAAAAAATAAAATTAAACTGTGCTCAATCATTTTTCCTAATGAGCCATATTTGCTGAAAGGGGGAAGGGAGAGAAACAAGCCTAAGCGTCTTAATTTTATTTTTTGGGGAGTCTTTAAAATGATATAGACCTGGTTTTCAATAAAAAAAATTGTTTTCAGAGGAAATTTTAATAAATATATGTTTAAAAGGATTTTTTTTAATTGTGTGAGGATAAAAAAACATTTAAGTGACTAAATCATATTTTATTTTGAAGCTTTGATATGCCTAATAATTCATAATTAGCTGTAAGGAATTAATTCCTCATCAAATGTAGAACAAATCATTAAAAGTCATCTCATGACATACCCTTCTATCCGTAATGTATATTTTTACGTTTTAATATTTTAAAAAATAAATGGAAAACAATGTTTGACATTTACATTTTAAAATTAGAGATCTTTACTGACTTGACAGAATCAAATTTGTTTGACCAAATACCCAAGCGATTGAAAATGTGACAAAACATTTTAAAATTACCTGGATGGGTACTGAAAACTGGGGATTTTATGCTCCTTGCCTCTTATTGTTGACCCTACTGTTAAAACTTATGCAGTTGATGCAGAGCAGACAAATAGGCTGGACAATACTACAGAATTTCTTGGTGTACCCTAGCCTGGACTAGACGAAGCATCTCAGAGCCTAGCAGTAATCCTCCACCAAACAGACCACTACAGATCCGCAAAGGATAGCCTCTTCCTCGCTTTATGGGTTATCTTCACATATGTGTGCGTCCAAGTTCTATTCGGAGGTCTTCCGTCTTTTTTTTTTTTTTTTTTATGTTGGATAAAATAGTTCTCAACTTTACACCTTGATCTTTTATTCAATTTTGTTCCGTTACGATTGAAACTATTTCTGATTTCTTTAGATCTTCCAGAATATTTATGATCATTATTATAGTCTAATACTTCTTTATAAGTATCACCCTTAAGCTCATTCTATTTTTCTGCTGTTTTTGTCGGTAATCAGTTTAAGATTGGCCTCAGATTATGAACCTACAATCGAGCCTCCGCTATTTGTCCTTGATATTTTTATTCCCACTTCCATTTTCCTAGGGTTAATGACATTTTCGAATAGCCTCTTTGTATCTCATACACAAGCTGTATCAATTTTTTTCAATAAGTGCTTTGTGTTCTGGTACTAGTTATTGCAGCATATGAAGGATTGATAAAGGGTGTTGAAGTTAGGTTATTCCCAGAATTTCTTTCTCGACTTGCTCATTGTCTCTACGAAGTGGTCGATTATTATTAATTTCAAATTGTCAATTCGTCAAAAAATACCTTCTTTAATGTTTCATTGCGTAAGATTGCTTAAAAATGTAATCCCTTCTAAAAAGTCTACTTCATCTGATGCCATGACAGAAGGTTTTCAAATCATACCCTTAGATTTAACACTAAGTGATCTTATAATTGGTTTTTCTTAGAAAATATATTGATAAATTTCCTCTTCATTGTTGGGAATCGTAGATTTTAAATGTGCAATTTACATCATGACATTTCTTGAGACTGTTACTAGGCTATAACCTACTTGAATCTGGCTTGCCTATCTAAAGACTTTTTATGTCTTCTCCATTTCCAATGAACACAAAAATAAGTTTATTCTTAAAAGTTCTTATTTATTTTTTTCATTTTGTTAACCTTTGTTGCAAATATTTACAATTGAATTTTATCTTTCAGTTTAAAAGTAATTCATTTTCATGTAGGAAATTCGTTTTGATTACAGCTCTTGATTTTAGATTTTATTATTATTATGTTTAATTTTCATCAATAATTAATCAATCTTTTCTTCTTATAAAAATGTATATTAAATTACTAATATATTGCTTTTTCTTTTAGAGTCCAATAACTGACTATCGGATGCCTATTCGATCAATCAAAGAATGGTTCACAACAGAAGAAGTTAATCGAAAACGTTATGATATTATGCAACTGCTTTTATCATTGATGAAAGAACAAAATGTTGATATCCCTAGACTCAATTTGCCTTTTTTAAATTTGACTCCGTTTTCTCACTATGATGGAGATGAAGAAGGAATGGAAGGTGATTTTGAAGAAGAGGAAGTCGAAGGTGAAGAAGAACCGATATGTGAAGAAGAAGAAGAGGAAGAGGATCTTGAAGAGCCAGTATGTGAAGAAGAAGAGGAGGAAGAGGATGTAGAAGAACCATTATGTGAAGAAGAAGAGGAGGAAGAGGATCTTGAAGAGCATTACAAGCTGGAGGAGATTTTCAAGACTAAACAGTGTTTTGATCCTCATGGTAGGTTAGATCAACAGCAGATAAGATTGGAAGTCAAGCAGAGAATGGACCAATCAGCAAGAAGTGAGCCACAAACACCTGCTCGTTTTGAGGCAACTCCTTCTCGCATGGAATCTGGACCAACTATACAACAGCTGAGAGCTGAAACAATGAGATCTGAGCCAATAAGGTCACGTGTTAATGAGAAAGTTACAATTTGTGAAGCAAGCTCTAAGAAAAAGCTACCTTTGAGTTTGAAAGATATCAGGAGCCCTAGATTGCTGTCAGGGCAAACATCCATTGAAAAAGTGAAAAAGATGAGACTTGAGTGAGATGGGACATTTTGGTTATTGTAGGTGATAGTTACAAAAGTGAATAACTTTGTTATTTGTATTTTATTGCCAGTGATATCGTTACATTCTATCGTGCTTCATTGGAGTTGGTAGTCATTTGTAGCACTTATAAATTTATATATACATATAGATGTATAGCTTCTACATCTGTCATTAGTTATTCTCGTAAAAAGAAACAACCTGATTGTAAATAAAAGACTCTTTTGAGTCTTCTAAAGAAGTTCCTTGGCATATAAATGATATGTTTTATATGTTTAGTATTTATATGTATTTTTTTTTTATTTGATTTAAATTTTATAAAATAAATTAATTTTTTCAGCTGAACTTTTAATATTTGTATATTTTTACATTAATAGAATAGAATAGAATAGAAAATAGAACTTTATTCTGGGACTAAGTCCCCTTAGAATAACAAAGATGAATTAATACAAAATAAAATACCAATCTGGCCAAAAACTAACTTAAAAAAATTCTAACGTAATATACATTATTTAAAAAGTAGTATGTAACCACTGAGAAATAAACAAAAAAAAAAAAAAAATATACACATATATAAACACACGCACATATATATACATACACATACATACATACATAAATGAACATACAATCATCTCCAAATTTACTTATTATTATGATATAAAAAAAAAAGAAAAAAAAAAGACAGAAAAGAAATTACACATATATATATATACATAACTGCACAATAATAGCTATCTAATAGAAACATAATTTAATACAAAATGTAATAATATTCATAAAATAATAAGCAAACACTAAGATAAAATAAAATCTCAGGAATAATTGTGGTATAAAGATAAAAAAAGGAACTATATATACGTACTTACTCATATTGCTACACAGTGAGACAAAAAGTATAAAATATAAACTTATATATACATGAAAGAAAAAGCACAACCTGAGGTGAAGAGAAATACAAATAAATAGTAAAAATAATAGTAAAAAATCATTGCTTATGTTAAGACTTAAACTGTAAGCACCACCAGTTACTTCTCACAAATTCAGTTCATAAAATGATATTTATGGTTGCGAATCGTCTGTTTGGGATGTGAGGAGATATTGGAAAAGGAGGTATTTGAAGGTTGACAGTGAAGAGGCATGACGGATGTTATATGGCAAAGAATTCCAATAGGTGACGGAGCGGGCTAAGAAGGAACGTTCATAGGTTTTTGTCTTGTGTGATGGAATATAGAGGTCAGAATCACGGGATCTCGTTTTTATTGAGTGGACTAAAGGTTTCGGCTTGAGGAGACAGTAGATATAGGAAGGGTGCTGGGAGTTGATCGTTTGATATAAGAAATTTCCAAGGAAGTATAGGCGGCGGGAAGAGGGGAAGAGCCACTTTGACTCGGAATATAGGTGGGACACATGAGACCATCTCAAAGTGCCGAAGACCAATCTTAAAGAACAGTTCATGATTCTCTTCAGTCTGTCCTCAAGCTCCAACGAGAGGCCACCACATACCACACAGCCATAGTCAAAGTAGGGGAAAATCAATGAGGAAACGAGGAGCTTGCGGATAGGTTGTGGGAGATGCTGACGAGAACGATGAAATAGTTTAAGTGTACCAATTGACCTTCTGGAGATATGAGCAATATGGGGTTTCCATGATAGGTTTTGATCAATGGTAATTCCTAATATGTAATTTTTTTTTTTTAACTTGTTATATATTTGTTTACCTAAGGAGCCCAAGGTTTTATATTTGGGTTATCTAAGGAGCAAGCAAGCAGCAATCACAAGTTGTTAGCTGAGCGTGGTGCATCTCTTGGGAGGATGTAAATATTATATGTATATTATATTATGTTTGGCTGCTACTTTTATTAGAATGTCATGAGTCAAATTTTCCGTACTCTTTAAGCAGTCCTCATAGTTTTTTAAGCCTTTCACAAAGGCTGTAGAAGAAATGAATATGATTTCGATTTCACCAAGCTCTTATTTCTTTATCTCTTTCTATTATAACAATTGTTAAAATGGACCAATAAGATTGTGAAATGTGGGTTATCCATTTCATATTAGGTTGTGTTTAATTGTAATTACAATTACATTTTTTATATTTTATGTAATTATTAAAGTGATAGCTGAATTTTGTACTGTGCTGAAGGACTATGTTTACACACTAAATATTGTAAACTTTAAACAAAATATTTCGTGCCTGACCTAATAAAATATCAGTCTTAATTTTTTTTCCACATAAAACTTAATCATTTTGTTCAACCTACATTTTGACTTTTTTTCCCCTATGCTTTGTATGTAACTACATTGTTTTATATTGCTATTGTAATTTTTGTATTAAAAAAAATTTTTTTTTTTGTTCTCTAATTAATAATTAGCTCCTTATTCGGTTCAAAATAGCTTCCCAACTTTAATGTATGCTTTCACCTACCCAACCTACGTACCTGTTTTTAACATAATATAGATATCTCTTCATCAGTAAATAAACTCAAATTTACTAAGGATTCCCATAAGTTATTTGTAATATATTACAAGATTAAATGAAAAGTGTTAAAATAAATAGCACATCACCTACTGCCACTAATTTGATTTTTATGGGATTGTGCAATTTGTACCTAGATGTTCCTACATCAAGTTCCATGTACTACTTTTGCTTGGGGATGCTCAAAGTATTTTCATTAATACATCCTCTAGATGGACTGAGGCGGTTTCTCCATGCTAATGACACTCGGAATGTAGCAACAGGCCCGACACGAGGGAACTGGCTTACATGTTTTTTTTTTATCTCCTAAATTTATGTATTAATAAGCCATATATATCATATGTTTAATTTAAAAAATTTTTTGATGCATGCTTTGATTGGGTTAGGGGTGGACTGAGACGGTTTTTCTCCATGCTAATGACACTGGGGATGTAGCAATGTGCGGGACAGGAGGGAACTGGCTTACATGTTTTGTTTTTTTATATTCTAATTTTATGTATTAATAAGCCATATATATCATTATGTTTAATCTAAAAAATATTGTTGATGCATACTTTATAAAACCATGCTTTGATTGAGTTTTAGTGGTAACTTTAAAATTTGAGGAGGTTCCTGAAAAATCATCCCTGGAACCCTTCTCTGCATGGCCTTGTTTAGGAAAAGAAGTAATTTCTGTAAACCAATTTTAACCATATACTGTAACAAAAATAAATCAAACTTGTTTTTTAAATAGCAATGTCTTTCTGGTTATTGATTTTTTAAATAAATTTAAGAGTTGTTTGCCTGAGACTAAGAAGAATTTTGACTGCTAAGTAATACTTGCTTGTCCTGGACAATACTCAATCTCCTGGAACTGCTAACTAGATATAATGAATTATTTTATTATAGGAATGAATTAGACGAAATTAAAAAAAATTAAATTTTTAGTTAAGCCAATCATTTTCACTATGAAATGTAGCTGAAAATTGCAAATGATTCATTTTTTACATTAAATATAAAATATATATTATGGGGTAGTATAGCGATCGTGGAAAATTTCTATTTTTCATCAGAAATACTCGTTTTGAGGACCACTGAGTCCAAATAACCAAGTCTCCTAAGATGGTCTGTGTTTGTGAATGAACAAACTAGCTCAAAGAAGAAAAGTATGAATCTGAAGTTTGTTGAATGAATTTAAGGTTTGTATATGCCCGACATGTTAAAGCAACTTTTTCGGTATACCAGAAGTGGCACTTCATCATTGATTTGAAACATTTTTAAGAGCTACACCAATTTCGCTCTAACAATTTTGATTAAACTCGTTATGCTAATGTACAATTCAGTGTTTTATCAATATAAATGTAGTTTTATCCTCATTGATGTTTTCTAACAGGGCGTAAATGTCGCTTTTTCAAAATTTCTTAATCTAAAGTACCTCTAATTTTGTATATTTTAAAACATTAACTATTTAACATTGTATATATTGAATAAAAATCTGGTGCGCGCAACACACAAATTTCACTTGCCTCTCCAATTTGGATAGAAATTATTTTCTGACGATGTTAAGCAATTATACAATTTTTGGAGTGCACTTTTAACGGAGCCATAGCTTATAGCGTACAGCTAACAAATCATTAAGACCACTAATATAACAAAAATCCTATTAATTATATCAACGGTAGACAATAAAAATCTCGGTACTCCAATCTGATTTTGTAAACCACATAACTCCAGTCTCTGAGATATATATATATATATATATATATATATATATATACCTGGAGAGATTTGAAAGCATATTTCTATATTCAGCCTGTAAATGATCATGGATTGTACACCTGTTAGTTATTAAACTGTTATTTTCCATTGCAGGGGTGTCCATCCCTCAAAGGTAGATCCCCCTCCTAAGATATTTTATTGCTCACGTTACTTAAAAACGTTACGAAAAATCATTGATCATATACAATTACACTTTCTGCAGTCTGATCATTGTTTTCCTCTTGTCGTCACATAAATCCTTAGGACAGCCCTTATCAGCTTAGGTCAGCTCTTCGAAACTTGTATATATATCAGCCCTTCGGAGCATATGGCACCAGTTAGCAGAGACACCCACCAGTCAGTAGACATACCTAGACCATCTAGGTAAATAATGTAACTCTCATAGTAAACATTTTAGTGTCTCTAGTTAATAACCTAGTGCAGTTAAGAACGAACATATTGTAAATTGTAATCTTTGACACCAATAAAGTTATTTTTTTGGGATTAGTGACGCGAGGTACTTGTTAGTTAAAGGTAGCAAGTGAGACGAAATTTCAAGAAGCTTTGACGAAATATCAACAGAAGCTGGAACTTCTTCGATACATCACCAAACGGACTCCTATGAAGATTCGATGAAATATTAACAGAATCTTGGGTAATCCACCTTTAACCTGTGTTTCAACACTTCAGACAAGCGAACAACAAATTCAATATACATCTCCATAAAGACAATCTCCTTAAAAGACTTGAGGTATTTCAATAATTTTGTAATTACATTTAAAATTTT